TGAGCTATGAGAAGAAGAGATCTTTTGTCGTAATATTAGAGAAGGTGATAAGTTCTGAAATTGTTTGTATTTGTCTTAATGAAGGGGGAAGTCATTTCTTTATATATCTTTTTTCTTTGCTATTTACTATTTTTTCTTTTTCTTTTTAAATGTTTTTCTCTGCACGTTTTCTTTTTTTATATTTCCTTAATTTGTATTTTATCTTTGCATCTGTAAACTTCAATGAAAATTATTATATAAAAAAAGGATTTATTATAATTTTCAAAATTTAACAGCAGCCATGTAGGTGTGAAGACACATCAATTTCTAATACAGCATTTTCTGATGTAAAGCAAGAATCGCTCCCCTTAAGCTATGATTTGTTCTATGGAAAAACAAAACCTGCAGAACCACTGACTTCTTCAAGCTAGTGCTCGCAAGAAGCATTCCCATGGGCTGCAAATTATGGGAGATGCAATCCCAACATCAGCTTGGAGAAGGCCACAGTAGTATATGGGAAGAATTTGAATATTATACTCTCCTTTGATCTTGAAGAAGCCATTATCTCAGATTAGTGAAAAACAGGAATGAAAATATTCACCTCCTAGCAGAGTCTGACTGAAGCAATAATGACAATACTATGTAGAACGCTGTGCAAAACGTTCTAGAGCACATGACTGAACTAGTTGATCTTCTGGTTATATAACAAGGAAAATCCCAGAAGCACTTCAAGTCAAACAGAAAAACAATCCTGGAAAGTTAGTTGCTATACCCAGATTAGGGGGTTAGATCCCCAAAAGATTATCCATCCTGAGGTAATATTATTTCTAATTGTTGGTTGCAGTTAAATGCATGATTTACCAGTAGATGGATGGATGGGTAAATGATGAGCGCAAGGAAAATTTCCCCAAACTGGGTGGAGGGCTGAGATGGTGGGAGAAGCCTTTTCTTAACTTCATGTGGTCCAGATTTCTTCTTCCATCACACAGTGGCTAATGTTCTTTGGAACTTAGCCAAGTAGTTAATTCTTAATTTCATTGCAAACGGTCTAATTAATAGACCACTAGTTAAAGAGCTATTGAGATGCACTTTGTCCTGCACATGTGACAGTCTTCATTCCTTGTTTCTGAGTCTAAACACAGAGAGCTTAAATATTTCCTGACTGGAATAGACAAAAGTCTTGCACTGAACAGGTCTACGTGAGAACAATTACTTTCCCTCTTCCCTTCCCCGGCAATTCCCCTGTGAATATCCCATTTTATGTTTCCACTTAAACTTTCTTTACCTGGCTAATATCTTTTAATCTCAATAATAAAACACTTTCACATGTCAGGACGGTGAGCCCCCTGCTCTGGCCAACTTACTGAAAGACCTCTCAGTGCAACAGTGATCACAGTCACTCTGCTATTAATTCATTACTCATCTCTTTACTCATTAATTCAGAGCTGGGGAAGTTGGGCTTCTCCAAATTGATTGCAATGATCAGCAGCCCCAGCCAAGATGCCCAGTGAGGAGAGAGAGTGGGAAATGCAATTCAGCTAAAACTGGAAGGACCCAGATTCCCTGTTGCTGCATAGTTAGGACTGATTTTCTTCTCACACAGGTACTTAATTCTCCTGTCTTGTCCGTTTACCCTGTACTGTGCCACATTATAATTGAGATGGAGACGGTGCGCGTTTGGAGCTCCCCTCATCCTTACAGTGCCTTCTGCTTATGCAAGGAAGATCAGTAAGAGAAATGTTGAACAGATAGCTCATCATAGTTGCTCTTTGGGTACAGGATGAAGGTGTATTTCATTCAAAAGACTAAGACAGATTATATGGCTAAATATCACATTAGTAATGTTGTTCCCATTTCAGGATCATGAGCAAACTTGGAACAAGTAGCCCCCATTCTCCCTACAAGGGCATCATAATGTTCATATTATTGAGAACAATAGTCGAGTCCTGAGACAACTATGGTCCTTCAATTGATTTATATACAAATACATGTGACATCTTTTAGGACCTTTAGACAGTCTTTCCCCAAGGATAATGCAATATGGCCTTTAGTTGCTCCATTTTTATTACAGAGACTGAGTCCACATCTTAAATTGCACAGGTATTAGGTATAAAATTAGTAAGAGCATCTAGTTGCCTGTCTGTCTACCTGTCTCATCAAACATCTCTAGCACTTTCCTCCAAGGAGATCCAAGTATCTGCATGCTCTCTGTGCCTCATTTTGCCCTTACTAACCCTGTATGTCTAGGTTAGTCAGAACAATTAAGGGCAGGGTGAGAATTTGAATCTGAGTAACTAGTACATTAGATATTAGAAGGTGGGTCTAACTTGTAGAGTCCTTGGGGTTCTCTGAGCTTGGTTGTTTTCTTACAGACATTTCATTACCTGACTACGTAACATCTTCAGTGCTAGAAGGGAAGGGGTTTGCTCTCTGTTTATATACAATGATTTGCCCTGTCAGTTTTGGTGGGGGAATTGTATTTTCCTTGGGATTTCCTAGATTAGGCTATTGTTTACTGCTTGATTGTTTGTTGAGTTGGTAGTTCCTTGGTTAGGGTATTGCTTACTGCTTGGTTGTTTGTCTGGTGTTGATCCTGGTGTTAATCCCTGCTTATCTGGGTGTTGACTGCTGGTAAAGAGATGTTCTGGCCTTTTTGTTTAGTTTTTATTGTCTCTTTTGTGTATGTAAATGTTGTTTATCTTTATGTGCCTGTTGATGGCTGACCTGTCTGAATATCAAGCTTCCAGGAATTCCCTCCGCTTTTTGGATTTAGCTTCATCTTTTGCTTGGGTTTAACTTAATAAATGGGATCCAAATAAAACTTTGTCAGTATTCAGTCTCTAATTCACCCTACTTCCCTGAAAAATGGTCTTACATTTCAGATGGATAGAAGCCAAGTTGTACATACATTGAAAGAAAAGAACTAGAAAACACAAACAGTATCAAAACCACAATAATAAGGGTTAGGGGAAAAAATCATGAAATAGGCTCCTTTTCTGAAATATGTAATTCCAAAAATGTATAAACTGTGGTGGCATTTTTATAATAAATTATAATTAACAGTTCTACTTATCTCTAACAAGGTAAGTTAATTTCATAAGCAATCTAATTTCTACATTTCACAAACTTACTGTTGAAAATTTATAGGTTCCACAATTTTTTTAAATAGCACATGGGAATAATTTTGGGACTTACTGGTAACTGGTAGCTTGTAATACACATTCCAAAACAATTTAACATGCATACTTCAGAGGGAGAGCCAGTTTGGTGTAGTGGTGAAGGCACCAGGCTGGGAACCAGGAGACCGTGAGTTCTAGTCCTGCCTTGGGCATGAAGCCAGCTGGGTGACCTTGGACCAGTCCCTCTCTCTCAGCGCTGGGAAGCAGGCAAGGGCAAACCAATTCTGAAAAAATATTGCCAAATACATTGCCAAGAAAACTACATGGACTAGTCCAGACAGTTGCCAGGAGTCAAGATTGATTTGAAGGCACCAAAAAACAAAAACAAATATCACCAGGAACTGTATCTCAGTAACCTGATCCAAGGGATAAGGTATTTATGCACAATTAAACAGGATTAGCTAATATTCCCCTAGGTCTGAATGGTACTCAGCTAGTTTACTTGGTCAAGAAATTCAGTTCCTTAACACACACAAGTCAACTTTCGCGGTAGTCAAAGATACACAAGTAACAAAATGTCAGTCCTTGTGTGATGCATGTGCCAAGGTTTATGCTAGTTGTTGGTATCTTACAGCTAAGGAGATAGGATCTGTCTTACATAATATAGAAGATCAGTGGCAAGAAGTAGGAGTTTGGATCAGAAGTTCAAGTTCTTCTCTTGGTTCATGGCATAAGCCCCAGCATAAAATTCAGGAAACATACCTTCTGCTAAACTCAGGTTGGACCCCTAAAATAAACAGAAGGCTGTTGCTTTATAAAAAAAATGGCTTGAACTCGTTTCAAGGGCACTTCCGGGTTTCAGAATGGTTCTCTGGTCCAGACTAGGCAGTTTGACCAAACAAGTTTGGATTTGTCCAGATCAATACACAGAGTGAGATCAAAGAGTGAATTATAAAGTGCTGTTGTCTAAAACTTTACATATGATTAGAGAAGGCTTAAACTACTCATCAGTAATAAAGGGATATTTTTTACAATTATTATTATGTTAAACAACTTACACCTCCAAATGGCGCAACCATTTTGTTTCTTTGTGTTGTCTGAAATAGCAATAGCACAGTTACCACAGACCATTCTGCAACTGGGTACATACACACCCCTGTGTAGATTTCTACATCTCTGTGCATATATCTACCATTTCTAGTAGTGATGTATTTGTGCAGAAATATCACTGGGCACACTGCCAAGGGTGGAGGAAGATAAGGAATTGGGGAGTCACAGAGAAAAAGGTAGCTGTGCCAGCTGAAGAAAAAATGCTTCGCTAGAAGTATATAACTGTTGGCAGAATGCCTGCTCATTTTTCCACAGCCATAAAATGAACAAAATGTGCTTTCTTTGGAGTTTGGGAGAAAGTATCTTTTTTCTATCAGATGGTTGTGCAAATCGGTTGCATTCCACATGGCAATTTGTATTTTGTTCATTTTCATTTTCTATTTGGAATGACCAACCCATCCTTCAGGTGGCACAACTCGTTGAATTGCTACTGTGAAAATGCTCCTAAAATAGATTTTGCCCATATTCCACAATTCCTCAGGAACAGATCTCTTATTCCTTTCTTTTGGAGGAATGTTGTTTATATCCAGCACTACCATCCCACAATCACATGAAGATATCTCTAAATTCCTCCCCAATTTGTAGTGGGTGGGGCTTTTCCACACCAGTGCAAGCCAATTATACTGACTAGTCCTCTGCATACATATTCACTGCAGTTTAAGAAAGTAAAGTCCCAGGAGTCCATGAGTCACAATCCTGAAAGGAGGAAGCACTTTTGCACTGAAAATCTTCTCCAAGAACAGCCTGGTTGCTAGAGAGAGGCTGGCAAGGAACACACACAGATTCAAGTGTGAAAGATAACAACAGGAAGGTAAGGGCTGGTGCAGGCAGGCTGGTAAATCCTCCTACTGTTTAAAAACTTGCACATTTGAAACAAACTTGTCTAGTAAAATAAATAATATCTTTTAAGTTACCTTTGTTCATACAAATTTTCAGTTCCTATGTTGGTTTGCTTATAAATGAAAACTGATTTGATCTATCCTTGTCCTGATTAAAATTAGTCTATGAGATTGTTGAATTATTATAATTATTAATCCAGGAGAGAGTGATACCATTACCTGGGGGATGATGCGTCAATAGTTGATGAAATTAAAGAGAGGATTGTCAGATAGGTGATGATGTGTTGTACTAACATGTAAGTTGACTTACCACTGGTTATCTAAGATGACGGTGCTGACTGAGATATTTTCTAAAATGCAGATTCCTACAGGCTGCCATATATTGATTCCATGTTCCTTATACATCACTAAGTTGGATTTTTATGTAAATAATCAGTTAACAAATGAGTTATACTGTAATTCTGTTCTTATGTTTTCCCAACAAAGCTTTGAAAAACCATCATTATTAAAAGTGGGGGAGAATCAGTTTCACCCAGTAATATTCTCATGAAAGTGTGAACTTTCAAAACCATGCAATTCATTGTATAAATCAACAGCCAATGGCTCCAGTTACAGATTGACAAGCTTTGGTATGTTGTCTAAAGTCCTTTCCAAGGTGATAAATATGCTTGTTATCACATTTTCTCTTCCTTTAGAAAGCCTGATCTTGCTTTATACAAACATGGGAAGCAGTTCTGAAGGCCCTTCTCATTGCAAGGTAATTGTATTATTTTTAAAGGATAACATTATTCTTTCTCAGACATTTTAAGCACAATTTAAAGCAGAGAAGATGATTGGCTGTTTTTGTTGTGTATTAGCAGAGAGACAAGTAACACCAGGCTGCCACAAAGCCATGTCTGACATGGTTTCAAAGGCATTTCCATATAGCAGAAGTTTAGCGTGATTAATCTTTCTGCATATGGAGACACATGGGCAATTTGATATTGTATAATTTCTAATGTTACTTTTTTGGCGAGACATACTATTTGTCAGTATGTTTTTTGTCATTCAAAATGCATGGATCATTCTCAGATCAGTCTAAGGGGCAGATACCAAATTCATTGCAGAACTCTTGTAGACTTTTCTGAAACCTGGTGTGAATGTAACATACTCATCTTATGTGGCCTCCATTGTCCAAGAATGAATGTACTCAAGGATAGTTGCTTGTAAGTAGTATATTTGATTATGATCTTGGAAGAGTAAGTTGGCGATGTCTAGCTCTGCACTCACATCTCTTTTCATGGAATGCTTAGAGGAAGCAGCGAGGAATGACTAAAAGTTGCTGTGTTTTGAAGTTGGATTCCATGTTCATAGTGGATTCCTTAGTTGTGGGGTACTGGAATTTAGCATCATAGATGATGTACTTCTTGAAGCACAGAATGTTCAGCAGGTCTCCCCTGCATTTATTTTTCTACCAGCTTTTATATTATAGATGTAGTTTGATCTTATTATTTATTTACTCATTAGATTTTTATCTCGCCTTTATTTTGGTAAGCTCATGGTGGTATTCATACCTAATGCTCCTTCCTCCTATTTCTCCACAACAAAAACCCTCAGAGTTGGGTTGGGCTGTGAGAGAGTGACTGTCCCAAAGTCACCCAGCCGGCTTTCATGCCTAAGGGAGGGCTAGAACTCCCAGTCTCCCGGTTTCTACCCCAGGTCCTTAGCCACTACACCCAACTGGGTCTCTAGTCTTTCTCTGCAATAAACAACTGGACGGAAGTAAAGATTATTATGCCAAATCATTTAGAATAATTTAGGATATCTTGCATGAAAGTGTGGAAGTTGCAGTGGAAAATATACCATCTCCAGGAACATTAAAAGAAGGTCATGATTGGATAAGACAGAACACAATTCCAAATGCAGCATGATTAATATACCCAGTTTTGCTGCCCACATCTGCCTCTCAGGTCATCTTTGCATCTTTCGTAACTTCTGCTTCCAGCTATGATGCAGGCAATCCTCAGAAGTCCCAGCCAACTGTAAAAGTTGTAGTGCAATATGTCTAGCAGATTCCAAGTTGAGGAAAGTTTTTTGAGAATGTAGGAGTTCCTCACTGACTACAGTCTGCAGAACCAGCCCCGGGTTGTACTTTTGTCATGGACTCAGAGGACACACTAGCAACTGGACCCCCATTGTCTTCAGTCTCTTGGGGGGATTCCATCTTTTCTCAGAATTTTCAAAGATGCCCAAGAGGTGACAGTCACAGTTAGGGTGTGGATATTACTAATCCTACTGCTAGTTCTGTTTGTTCAGTATATACAACCTCTCTTTATTCCTGGAGGATCGCCTCCTCATTTGGATTCCAAACCGGACTTCTCATTTTTCCCGTAATTGAGAACAGGGAAAAAGATCAAGGGTAAGAATAACAAAATGGGTAATAATCTCAGATCCTACAGTGAATCTCAGCACTCCTGCCCACTTTCTGTTGAGTACAGTGAGAATGTAACAAGTATGGAGACAAGGTGTTCATTGCTAGTGCATCTTTTTCACTGTGGCATACACAAGGATTATCATGACACCTGCTTCAGCTACAACATAAGCCTTCCCAGCCTTCTCCTTTATGTGCAATGGCTCTCTTTCACTTTCAGCAAAATGCAGCAAATGGGAATTATGTTGCCCCATCAATCTCCCACGAGCAGAAGAATTTTGATATGATCTATACAATTGAAGATGCACCCCCATGGTATCTCTGCATCCTCCTGGGATTTCAGGTATAACAAACTAAACTGATGGTTAGCTCCATCTAGGCTCCTTTGCTGTTCCTTCTGCCTCCCCCTTGTTTAAATTAACAAATAATTGGCATGGGGATTGTTTCTCCACCCACAATAGCAGAGTCCCTGCTTATAATTATTTAGATGTTATTATGTGTGGTGCCATTGTTGAAAAGGCACAGGTCGTACCTTGACCACAAATCTTATATGGTGTTTACATCTTATTTCTATTGTTCATTTATCTCTGCGATATTAGTGTCTATAGAACTCTGCACCCCAATCACACCTTTGGACTATGCTTTCGTACATCTATTTCAGATGCATATATTTTTTTAAAAATCTGAAAACGTTATACCAAGAAGAAAAATATGCTGGATCACCCCTACAAAGCCACCAAGACTGTGACCCCATCTGTTGGCTCAGTGCTAATAATGGAGATACAACAACGATGGGCAAAACTTTGTGTGACCCATTCTCTGCCCAGGACAGGTGGTTCCAGAGAGTCTGTGTCCCAAATAAGCCATGCGTGTTTCAGGTGCTTTGCTCTGTTTATGGAACAACAAGGGCCTGTCCCCCCCGCCCCGCTTGGCAGAAATAATTCAGGGTGGGGCAGGAAGCAAGGGCTTTGGTAGCTGAGGAAAGGAGAGAGGGAAGGGAAGGGCTGGGAAGATGGAAGCCAAGGAGACTAGTGGGACATGATGCACTGAGACATAGATGGAGGCAGCTGATGGGTGGGAAGGAAAGCGGGCGCTTGGAAGGCTGTGAGGGGGTCAGGCTAGTGGGATTTGTCACAGCAGGATATTGGTGGAGGCAGCCGAGGGGAGGGAGGAAAGACGCTGAGCAAATTGGGGGTGGGTGGGGGAGAGCGATGAGCTAGGCATGGTGTGATACGTTGTGCTGCTTGTAGGTGATGGCAGTTGAAATACAGAGAGGGAAAAGGACAGCCCCGTATTCACCTCGCCCGGCTTTTGTTTAATCTGAAGTCAGGATCAACCCAAACATTTCATTTAAGGTTTCAGTTTTGTTGAAGAGTAGCTGACCTGAAACAATTGGGCATGGTGGTTTATTCTGGGCTCTAAACAAACCAGTTCCTCCACTTGGTGCACACCTTTAATGCCCACTGTCATTCATATTCATATTCATATTCATACGTGCCTGAATATTTTACTGCCACAGGAGCAAAAAGTGACTGTGGGAAAGGCATTTGGGCATTTGAAAAAACATTCTTGCCTCCTTCAGTTGTTTTAAAAAGAAGGTTCACATTCCAACAAATCTCAGAAGACTCCCAAGCATGACGATACCTCTGTTTTGCATGTTGTTGGTCCCATTTTGGCTGCACTCCTACAGGCCTTCGCCACTGAATTCACAATCGAAAGGAAGGCCACAGAGCTCTCAGGAAATGGCTTTGACTAATATTTTCCAGGGACAAGATACGCCACATTTGGGGAAATCACCGTCCCTATTAGAACAACAGATTATGTTTTCAGTTGTAAGAATTACAGCATTTCCCTATAACCAATGGATGTATGGCTGAATCCCAAAGTTGTGACGCATGCATGTCAGTTTGGAGACCGCATGTCATCCTGGGCTCATCTGACACATTCCCCACCCTAATTCTTTCCTCCAGCACTATTTGACGTGTTTCAGTGGCACCATCGCTGTTCCCTTCCTCCTGGCAGAATCTCTCTGTGTAGGGAAGGACCAGTACACCATCAGTCAGCTTATTGGCACCATCTTCAGCTGTGTGGGCATCACCACCCTCATCCAAAGCACTGTGGGCATTAGGTACGGTTCACCCGGTTTGCTTCCTTAGTGAACGTAACAGGGGAGAGAATGAGCAATGAGATGGTAGTGCTGAATCCATTTTTTTCCTTCTGTAAGGCAGGCTTCCTCTGTTTCAAGCCAGTGCCCTGGCATTCCTGGTTCCTGCCAAATCCATCCTGGCTCTGGAAAAATGGAAATGTCCTCCAGAAGGTAACTGAAACTTGGATAGCCTGCAAGTTGACAGGAGCTAGAACAGAAATATCTTCAGAAGCCTTTCACTGAGTGAAGAAAGTCAGTAGCTTTTCAAATGGTAATATATTATGCGTTCTGTGACTGTGACTGTATACAAGAAGCATATCCCCTGTGATACCATGCCTTGCAGCAAGGAAGACTTTACCAATCCCCTGATTATGTTGGCATAGAAAAATTCCCAATTTTTTCCCTTGTTTGTTCAAGTAGCATCCCAGGAGAAAAGTTGATAGTTCTGCAATTTTGACATGCATTTGAACGAGCAAGAAACTTTTATTGCCCCAAAGGCTTAAATAAAAATGCTGGGGAGAAAATGGATATTTGAAGGAAAACAGCATCAAGAGCATTAAATGTGCGCTCTGTGAATGAGGCAGTTGTCACACTGTCAGGACATAAAGCTAGGCAGATCTGCCTTAGCTTGCCAGATATGAAGGTAAAACTCAGGGAGGAAACTTAGCTGAGGTTGAGGTCTACAGCATCCTCTGTTGCACTGACTGAGTGAATTTAAGCTCCAAAAATTGCTGGAAACTAACAGGTTCACTTATAGAATTCCTGTATATACAGTTCCCAGGCAGACCTCTCACTTTTTTCTAATGTCATAGTAGACAAACTGGTTGCCTTCCAGATTTTTCAATTAGAATTCCTAGAATAATTCTAATAATTCTAATTCTTGGAAGCTGTAGCGTGTAGGAGCTCCACAGTAGTCCAAAATACATACATACAAAGCCATCTTAGGGTATGGATACAGGCATTCATTCATTGGGGGCAAGCAATGTTATGCAGAGTGCAAAAAGTAAGTAATGATAAACCAAATATATTAAACGCATGAAATAGGAAAAAGCAGCATAGCTAAATTTAGTTCATACCAAGCCATTCACTATACCTTTCCGTACCTTTCTATCTGTGGAAACCATCCCTGCTTCTACCATGGTCACACACCTATGTTGCCTTTTTTTCAGCCATCATAAACTCCATCCAACAAAGACATTCTCTGTCTTCTCCTTCCTCTCAACTCTTCCTTTATTCACTCTTCCTTTATACATTAGCTTTGGGATTTGATCCTCATCCATTTTCTTTACCTGACCAAACTACCTCATAGCATTTCTTTTACACTGGTCACTCAGTTTTCCATTCAGTTCACATTCAGTCCTCAACCTCTTCAGTCTTGACCCAATCTCTTCTTCTTTTACTACACGTACTTCTTAAGGACCCCATTCTCACTGCATTCAATTTACTTTTGTTTCTCCTGGTATACCCAGCTGTCATTTCCACGTAACAAAATGGGGAGAAGCATGCTTTTATACACAGCTATTTTTGCTTTTTTTAACAAATCTTCATTCCTTACCATGTACTACCTACCACCTTTCTTCTCTCAGTAATTGTCCATCTTAAACATTTTCCATCCATTTTTTCCATCTTCAGTAATATTTTATTTAGTTTGCTCAGTAGTTATATAACGCCAATAAATGGGATGGAGGGGGAAGAAATAAATTGCCCCATGTCCACATTATGATCTCTGATTGGGATACAGGCTGTTCTGGAATGGGGTTACCTTCCTCCTGAAAGAGGGGTCTTTCAGTTTGTTGTCTAGTTGTGTTCTTTAATCCCCAATTTCTTTCTTCACTCATGCAGAAGAAATCTATGGCAACTGGACATTACCACTGAACACGTCTCACATATGGCAGCCAAGAATAAGAGAAGTAAGTTGGAGCCCAGCCTTCTCAGGTGTATGCCCAGCCACATTTGTCCAGAAAAAAAGTCTTATCCAGGGGGGACGTGCCCTGTTAAAGCTGAAGTGACTAAGTCACCAGTGGGAAATAAAGTGAACAGGAGGAATTCTTTATACCATTCAAAGTTTTTTTCTATGGCAGGAAATTCATATTTCTTCTGCTTATAAGTACAGTGACTGTACATCCTTTGTTATAAAGGACAATCCTTTATTTCAGAAAGCTGTCCTTGAGATTTATTTAATTTAATTATTTATTTTCTTGGTCCTGCTCTTGAATTTCCCTTTGTAAAGCAAAGTTATAAACATAAACATTTTTTTGGTATCCTTATGAACCTCTTTCAGATTGGCCCCCTTTTTAGGTTTGTCCTTTATTTGCTTCAAGAAAATATGGTCAGGGTACTTACAAGTCATTTTCCATATCCAGCCAGGGAAGTGTGCATCAGATTTCAACTTTTTCTATTTCTTCTTTGATATCTAGATGACATGTAAGGCAAGATAAAACAATTAGAATGTGCTGTTTACTAAGGCTTCAAATTATTGCCTGAACTGTCTCCTATTGTGATGCCGTGAGCTGTATTTAGTATGTTTTGGGGAGGGACTAAGGACTATAAGGAGGGAACTCAGGTGACCAAGCCTGAGAGTTTCAATTTTGCCTGGGTATTTTTTTTTTTTTGGGGGGGTGTGGGGAGGAAACTTTGTTGCAGCAAGCATCAGGGGCCCTATGTGCATCTCATCAAAATAACTTTCATGGCCCTCAGAGTCAGGGGGCTTAAAATTTGGGCTTTTTTTTTGCATGGGGGGGAAGTTAATTGGATTTTAAGGGAGAGAATAGATGCTTTAACTGGCTTTACATGCTTTAAGGCATCCGTTCACTCTTAAAATCCCAACACCCTGGCTCTCCCTGTTTAGAGTGCAACCCTCAAGGTGCCACACAAACCCTAGTGTAGCTGAAAGTGCACACCTCTGGTTTCCAGTTTCACATTTGTTGCCCCAAGCTGGCAAGAAACAGCAGTGCCAATATTGGGCCATTGCAGCACCCAGATTCAGAAGCCCACCTGGGGTGATTTATGAAACTTAAATACAGGACTTGCTGGAAATCCTCCAGTGGAGCTTTGCGGCCCTGATGCTGAGGATTAAGGTTGCAGCCTGAGTAAGGGCAGGTTAGGACATAATTTGTAGAAAAATGTGTCTTTAAAAAAAAAAAAATCCAACCCAAATCACTTGGGCATATAAATGTGTAAGGCCAAGAAGGTTACATAAAACTTTACAAGGAAGCAGTACAGACTCAGTTTTTTTGCCCTAAGCTACAGTTGCCAACTATGCATCTCTCAAACAATGATAATGAAGGTTATAATAAAATGCATGCATTTTCTAAACATTTCTGACTTTTTAAAAATAAGCTGCTCATCTTACTATAGTGGGGGAGAAGAGGATAACCAAGTAACCTCACTGGCCTCCTTAGTCTGCTAGTTCAGGTGTTAACGGCTCACAGCCAACATTGAAGCATCTGCTTGCTTTTCCTATTTATGGTTCTTCCTCTTAAGCCAGGCTTCAAGAAATCAGTCAATCTGTGAATGTCTAATCTCTTCAGATAGAGGACTATCTCCCTATATTAGGATTGTCACAAATATTGTGGGTCTTGCTGAAATACACTATTTGCAATGCACCTCTGCCAACTTAATTTGTCCTTTTCTTGTTTCTGCCCTAGATCCAAGGAGCCATCATTGTTTCCAGCCTGGTGGAAGTGGCAATTGGATTGGTGGGCGTTCCTGGGGCCCTGCTCAGCTACATCGGGCCCCTGACAGTCACACCTACTGTCTCTCTAATAGGTCTCTCCGTCTTCCAAGCAGCAGGGGACAGAGCCGGATCACACTGGGGCATTGCCGCATTGTAGGCGCTCTTTTTTCAATTCAGCAGAGTTTCAGACTGATGCAAGAGTAGAGCAAAACCTGTAGAGTTGCAGAACTACTGTAGGATCTCAGAGGAATGAGTTGCAGAGATACAAACTGGCCCATTGGCCAGATGTTCTCTCATCTCCTCACTCTACTGCCAGACCAAGCCAAGGGAAGCAGAGAGTGAAGTTCTAGCTGGTTGGTCACCAGCAGCTCAGATCTTCAGAAAGATTGTGCTTGTGCACACTACTTATGGGTATAAGTGTGCATGATTGGTAGAATAGGACTGTGGCACGGTGAGAACATTATCAATCTCTTGGTCTCCATTCCTAAGGGGGTTGTAGCTCTGCAGTTCTGCTACATAGTATGACCAAAGAAAGACCACATATTTTTACACATGCATGTAGACTGACCCAATTCTCTTGCAGGAATAACCCACATATGAGTGCTGGTGGCTGAACCACCCATAATTCACAGTTCAAAGGGCCATGAATAGAGCACACCAAGTGGGAGTTATAAACCTTTCATCACCACATTCATTCTATGTGATCCTCACTGGCTTCAGGGAAGTTTGCTTTATGGATCTAAACTGGAAACCTTGCATTTCATACTCACCAGTTGGTTGACTGTGATTCTGTCACTCTAAACAGGCAAGGGAGCCAGTGCTGGAGGAAAAGGTTGCGGAAGGAAGAAGAGCACTGAACTTTTTCCTGGTGACAGCATTGGCAGTTATCTGAGTTGGGATCAAGTCCAGCTGATGCATTTTTCATCTGTGTTCTCTGACCTCAGCAGGTCTCAGCTGAATGCTGCTGGGCTTGGACTGAAGCTCATCAGCCTCTCTAGGTGTATCTGGCAGTGGTGGAGGCAACAATATCCCAAGGCTGGTGACAGCCTTGCCCATGGATGCTGAGTGCTGACACAGGGAACGTATTAGCACAGTCAGAAGATGAAAGCAGATTCTAAACCAGCCATCCCAAACCAGGTAGCCCTGGCTGTGCTGAGCCTCAGCTCCCACTATTCTCAGCTAGTACGTCTGTTAGCCAAGTTTGCTAGGAATTCTGGAAATTGTAGTCCAATACCTGGTTGGGATAGGCTATTTTAAACAAACCTAAAGTGTTGTTATAATCTAAAGAAAATGACATGCAATTAAGTACCCTGACAATTAATGCAGATTAGATGCATTCATGGAAAACGTCAGGTAGCTGTGAGATGCAAATCACCAAGAAGTTATGTTAAGGTCTACATGCTGTCTCAGTTTTGGGAGTTGGCGGTAGTGGGGAATGAAGTACATTTGTGAAATGTAGCTCAAATCAGAAAATTAGACCAAATGCTCTCTGAAGTTGTTAAACCAGAACATACTCAGGGCCAGTTCATGTGACAGACTGCTGATCCAACTGGCTGTTTGTTAGACATGGAGAACTGCCTTCTTTCAATTGGATGCCCTCCAAATCATTTTGAACAACATCTCCCAAGATTTCTAATAAGCATCGCTGCTGCTCTGCTGGTCAGAATTTGGAGAGTTATAGTCCTAATGTAACTGGAAGGTGTCAGGCTGGGGGAAGGCTGTTGTGTGAGGAAATGCCTAGATAATGTTAAAGTCATGATGAACAACTTCCTAGATATAATCTAATAAATCTAATTTGAAGTCATGTGAATTGACCCCAGGGTTTCTGCATCAAATTGCTCCTAATATGTTCACCCATGTCTTTTTTCTCCTTTGAACAGGTCTATTTTTTTAATTGTTCTGTTTGCTCAGTACCTACGAAATGTTTCTTTTCCCCTTCCTGGCTATAAATATGGGAAAGGCTGCATTTTGGTCCGGATACAGATCTTCAAGATGTTCCCAGTAAGGAGATTGTCTTTTACTCATCATCTTACAGAGCACATTTGGTATGGCCCCCACAATTTGGTCAGAATGTGCTGATCTTTGTCCTGCCATGCTCCCCAGTTATGACCTGAGCAGCTTTCAGTTACACAGTTTGATTCTTCCCCTGCAGAAATGGTTACTCTGAGAATGAGTGAATAATCCATCCACATGCAGTACTCTCTCTTATCCGTAATGAAGGTCATTTGACTCAGAAACTTCCCGTAAAATCCTCGTGCATCAAGAAGGCAAGATGAGACAAAGGAGGAATTGGGAATGAATTAAAATGGGGCTAAATATAACAAGGAGAAAGAGATTTTAAACGATTCTGCAGAAGTGAAAGGGAAAGAATGCAGAGGAGATCATGCATTATGAAACCAAAGGGTATATTGGAAATCACTTCAAAGCATGGCGTTTGAGATTTATAGTCTAGCAGAAAAACTGGAATTTCTGATTCTTCCTTGAAATACTCAAGCTGTAATTCTAGACAGTTCTCCAGGAATAAATCTCCCTCAGCAATGCAGGATTTATTCTACAGTCGATACTCACAGGAGCAGGCTATAGGTGGTCCACAGAAGTCACGAAAGTGAAAAATGGGCAGGGCACTGTGGAGTAGCTGGACAATACTTTAGAGACCTGTGCTCTCTCTTCCTACAGTTGCTCCCCTCCTTCTGACTTACTTTCAGTGTGGAAGGATAGTTGGGAGATCGTGCTGTTCTGCCTCTCTCTGTCTCCTCTTCAGATCATACTAGCCATTTTGGTGGTCTGGCTGCTCTGTTACATTCTGACAGTGACGGATGTGTTTCCTCGTGATGCCGATGCCTATGGATTCAAGGCCAGAACAGATGCTAGAGGAGAAATCTTGTCCATAGCACCCTGGTTCCGTCTTCCCTACCCCTGTAAGTTGGCCTTATAGGTCTTCACCTCACAACAATCTTTGAAGGTGGCAGTGTAATGTGCACCCAACATGACATGCTAAGCCCCAGAGGGTTGTACTACCAAGTGTGATACCCTCTTATCCCCAACCCCACCTTCCCAGTTATTCTTTCTCTTTTATTTGCCTGTTGCCTGAGAACGGGCAGGATCTTCCCTCTTTTTCCCCTTCTGCTCCTACATGCTGCCTTTCCATGGAAGAAATCTTTCCCTGGGCTTTGTCATAATGTGGCTGGTGTGGTTTTGGCTTAGCGTGCTGTGTGAACTCAGTCATGTTATAAACATACTTTATGGCTTGGTGTGTGGTATGAACCCAGCCAGCTGTGGCTTATTCAACATCCATGAATTAGCAGGATGGGGAAGCTCATCACCAGGCCCTTCCAGGAACAGGCTGAATGGCAGAGTAAGTTCTCCTGAGACAGCCTTATGTGGCCCAAGAACTTCCCGTCACCACCTGCATCCCAAGGCTTGAGCTGCAGGTGGGAGTTTAAAACTTGGTGGACTTGGAGAAAAGGAAAGGGCCCCTCACCTCTTTTAGCCTTCAGTGCTCCCATTTGGCCTCCAGAACGACAGCTGGAAAATGATCTATCTACGCTCTGTCTACTGCCTTTGCTCTTTTCATTCAATCCTAGCATTGATGCTGGGGCGGGGGGGGGGGGGAAGTTAAAATTCAGAGGTTTAAAAAAAATCCCCAAAGCCATTTCCTTGAGCTAGATTACAGCACTTCTCAATGTCAGCAGCTTTCAGATGTGTGGACTTCAACTCCCAGAATTCCTCAGTCAGCATGCTGGTTGAGGAATTCTGGGAGTTGAAGTTCACACATCTGAAAGCTGCTGAGGTTGAGAAACACTGAAGTAGAAAGTCACTGAGCTGGAAACTCTTATGATCGAAACCCAAGATTTTCTACTGTTACCTTTTGTACTCTGGAAATGTTTCAGGCTGTGCTTCACCCTGCATGCAGGTTTGTGTATGGCTTAATTTGTCAGAGAATTTATATGGGCTAGTGTGAACATAAGTGTGATTGAGAGACAGAGAGAGAGAGAAGAATTTGGGCTTCATGATTCTTACTCTAGACTTTGACATTTGCTCCTCCTAGAGAAGCAACATTACAGCCCAACTGACACTTGTATTGTCTGCTTTTCCAGGTCAGTGGGGGACCCCCACGGTGACCGCGGCTGCTGTGCTGGGAATGTTCAGCGCTACGTTATCTGGTATCATTGAATCCATTGGAGATTATTATGCCTGTGCCCGGCTTGCGGGGGCTCCCCCTCCACCAGTGCATGCCATCAACAGGTAGGGGGCATCCAGTTCAGAGGTTTCTGCATTTTTTTTTAAATGTCTAGCTTGCTTTTCACTGATAAAACAAAGGTTATACTTTAAGCACGTTTCTTTAAAAACTATGGAGGATGATACTTCAATAGCTAAGGTTCTAGGGTTCTTAGAAAAAATGGTTTCTCATTTTGTGATGCCAATGGTCATAAGTGGAGAATTGGCAAAGCCTTCTTTAAAAAAAATGGATCATTTCTTGGTGCACTTCAAGTGCTGATTTCTTTACACATTCAAGGATTTTGAGAATCTTTTTTTACTATGGCAGCAGACTGCCTCATTAACACAGTAACCTCTTCATGAGGCCTTCCTTTTGTCATAGTCTGCCCAACCTTTGGAGATCCCTGTCCCAAGGTTTTCTAGACTGTGGAAAACGTGGATCACGTTACCACCATCATTCCAAGATGCGGAATTTCCACAATATTCACCTCTGGATCCGGTGACATTTTAGGGAGTGTGATTCTTGCAATGCCCCAGCTCTTCCCATTTCTCCTCCATATTTCAGTTTCAGCTGGTACAGAATGCGGTGGCTCCGGCAGTTATGTGTGCTTCTAGGACAACACATATCACACCCCTGCTCCGCGAACTGCATTGGTTGCCAGTTTGCTTCCGGGTCCAATTCAAGGTGCTGTTTTTAACCTTTAAATCCCTTCATGGCATGGGGCTGGGTTATCTGAGAGACTGCCTCTGCCCAATTATAGCAGCCCGCCCCATTAGATCTGGTGGAGAAGGCATGCTGCAGGTCCCACCTGTCAGGGAATTACATTTGGCGGGTCCCAAACGGCAGCCCTTCTCTGCTGTGGTACCCCGCCTTATGGGACATTCTCTCCCCCCCCCAAAAATTAGGTTCCAGAAGTCCCTCAAGATCTGGCTATGTCACCAGGCCTGGGGGTCCCAGGGAACCGGAGACTTGTTTCGATGGTTCCACTATTGAGGTGGATATACTCGCTCTCAGTCTGCCTGGGGTTTGTATATTTCTAATTTTAATAACTTTTAATTGTTAATGTTGACTTTTTATATTTTTAAATGCTTGTTTTATATATGTGTTTGATTATTGTATGCAACCCAGAGTCACTTCTTGTGAGATGAGCAGCTGTATACATTTAATAAATAACTAAATAAGTAAATAAATATTTGATTGATTTCCTATCAATATTTCATATTTCATTGCTGACATTCACAATGTGCAACTGATGTGGAAGAAAACAGCTTTGCTGGCTTGTTTTACTCATTATAACTTGAGATCTACTCAGCATCAATGTGTGTGACAAGAATAGCCTCGCAGCCACCTCATAGCAGTTGCTTCCCAACATTTTCTCTGGCTGCTTTACGTATTGGTGGAATCGCATGTGTTCACGGAACAACTTAACCTGGTTGTCAAATTAACTTGTTCTCTTGGTTTGCAGACTACCTGAACTGTAAACAGTTAAATGGGCTGAGTTCACAGAACTACTAAGCCTGCCACCAAAACAAACAATCAATTCCCCCACTTTGCCGCAAGTCTAATATAAAAGGGGCCAGGCTTAGAACGTTGTGCAAATACAGCTGTGAGGTTTATAACTGACTTGGTCAAGGTTGTCATGTGAGCACAGCCACCAACACAGACCAGAAGGTCCAAATGGCTGTTCTTTGGAACAACTTCAAGAGACCAGATTGGTTTCACTGCTAAAAGCAAAATATTCTAACTGCTACCTGCTGAAGGAAGAGGCAGTTAATGCTTGAGGTCTAATTTAGAGTAAAAATGTCTGTTTCTCATTGGTCTCTTTTGAAAATCCTTCATGAAGTCGATAGACAATATGCATGTTAGCCTTGCCTACACCACACTACCTCAGGCTGCTTCACTACCTCCAAGCAGGGGTGGAATATTACCCAGGAAGACTGGTTGAACCATCAGGCCACAAGGATTTAGGAATGTACCTCATGGAAACAGTCATTTCCATGAGCGCCAGTGGGTAGGCAGTAGGCCTGTGTGATTCTGTGTGTCCGATTCCTCTGATGTTTCCGGTAACTCAGAATGTGGCAGCTGCTTGCATATGGCATCCCCAAGAGCTGTGGCTGGTGGGAGAAACCACCACAAATGTCATATTGGGTGGGGCAAGGTGGGGTTTGTTCACATTTTTTTTTCATCAGATGGCTTCTGTCTGCCAAGATCAGGAAATAGGATGACTTGTAATGGTGACGGGAATCTGGAGTATCACAAGTTACCAGGTGGCCACATCTGTGTATGATGGGCACATTGTATCTGGCTTAACTAGTGAGTGACTCTCGTCTACTTTTTATTTTATTTTAATTTTTGGACGTTATTCTTTTAAACTGGTTTACAAGGTCTTCGTGTTGTAATTTGTTGAGTATCCTTCAGCTGAACTGCATCATCTTAATACTGCTGGAAGAGAGACCTGCAAAACCTAAGGCAACCCCTGAGGGCCTTTCTTCTTCTTCTTCTTCTTCCCCCTCAGAGGCATTTTTACAGAGGGAATCTCTTGCATCATTGCTGGGTTGCTGGGCACTGGCAACGGTTCCACTTCCTCCAGCCCAAACATTGGAGTCTTGGGCATCACCAAGGTACCACCCTGCACCGTTTGATAGCATCTTCTGTTTCTAGGCTTTTGATGGATTTGACAGAGCCGCCTGCTTCTTTCTTGTGCTCTGGGAGAAGCACAAGGCTTCCAGTTCATAGCACCTGTGCAAGACAAGTGGCAGATTTTAATCCTCCTCATTTGAGTTTCTGGTCACATGACAATTTACCAATCCTATTGTTTCATAAGAGAAGAGGAAATCTCTGAGTGCTCAGTTAGACACCTAAGACACTGCTTTATACTAGGTCCAACAATTTGTCCATGCAATCAAAACTTGCTTACTCTAACTGGCCATGGCTATGCAGGATCTTTGCTGAGATCTTTAGCTACAGATGCCATGGATTACGCCTGGGGCCTTCTGCATTAGGCTGCTCACATGCTTTATTCCTGTGAGGCAATAAAATCAAGAAGGTAGCAGTTCTGCTCTATTGCCTTACTTGCCAGTGGTTATTCACTGAGAGAGATGCTGTGGATGGAGTATCTCCTAATGCATTTCAGTTCATTAGGTGGAAAGATTTCTATGCTCCTTTAGAAGTTGTCTGCACACTTATCCATATGACATTCCCCTCTTACACATTTCAGGGGACAGTTAAAGGATCAGCACATTTCTATCCTGCATCTAGTGGATGTTGACAATATCATTCAGGATTGCTGATGCAGTTCTATGTGCTTGTTGATGTTCTGGCTTGTTGATACTGTGTTTAGTTATATCCATGGATATGGAATTTGGGGAGGAAAATATGAAGGAGATATGTAATCTTCCTGGCAAAGCACTTAACTTGGATGTAGAAGTTCCAGGTAAAATTGCCAACATTTTCCAATAAGGCTGGGAAATATTTTTGTTTGAAATCTTGGAAAGCCATTGACAGGGCAGACTGAGGAAAGCTGTCTGCCCTGTCAATGGCTTTCCGAGATTTCAGACAGAGATCTGGTGACCTTGGCAAGTATTGGACTATAATTCCTGGCTAGGGAATGTTGGAAATTGAAATCCAAGCTACCTAGAAGGCACCAGGCTGGAGAAGGTTGGATTAGACAGTACTATCCTAGACAATACCTTGTCAGCGCAAGATAATTTCGTAGGATGAATTCTGAGGTCACTTGTTAACAAGCTGTACAATATGCCAAAGTGCCATTCTAATACAGATTTTTGAGATATGTTTTTGTTCCAACATTCCTGTAGTCTAGCCTATTTTTGGTGCAGTGTTGTTCACATCCTAGGCCCTGTTAAGTATGCAGAATTGTTGCAATCTTTGGAGAAATTAAATTACAGTGTTGTTGTTTCCTAAAACTTAAGGAACTACAGGATCAGGTCAGGCTATTCAGCTAACCCAGGAACATCTTGTCAGATTGGTAGTAGCTCTGCAGGGTTTGGATTAGGCCAGTGTTTCTCAACTTGGCAACCTGAAGATGTGTGGACTTCACACATCTTCAAGCTGAAGTCCACACATCTTCAAGTTGTCAAAGCTGAGAAACACTGGATTAGGCAGAGACTCTTCCTGATCTCACCTTCTTGATCCTTTTAATTGGGGCACAGCAAGGCCTCTGGCAGGACCATCATTTCTCACCAACTAAGTAGAAGTAGGTTTCCCTGCTTCAGCCCAGGTGCAGAGCATGTGATTTGAACGGGAAGATTTCCTCTGAGCGATGTCACCATTCTGCTTAGCTTACAGCTGGGCTGACCACAGGCAGCAGCTGCAATAATCGTTGCTCTGAACAAATGGGCTTGCTGCTCTTCTTCTTCTTCTTCTTCTTCTTCTGAGGATGCTAAAAAACTCTGAAAATCCTACTGAAAAATTAAAGCTTGTATGTGCCAGGTGCTATCAAAGGCAAAATTAATCTTCCATCCTTTGGGGTTCAGTGTGTACCTGCAAGCATGAACCAGGCATGAGTAGAGGCAGCAGAAAATGTAGTATATGGGGAGAAGAAAGCTATGCTGATTAATAATAATAATAATGAATATGAATACATGCTGCTTATTTGTACTGCTGCCTTTCCTATGCAGGTGGGCAGCAGGAAAGTGGTACAATATGGTGCAGGAATCATGCTTATTTTAGGAACCATTGGCAAGTTTACCGCTCTGTTTGCCTCTCTCCCTGATCCCATCCTCGGAGGGATGTTCTGCACTTTGTTTGGTAAGTCATTTGTAGAAACAGCTGTGTCCGTGACTGTGTCTGTGTCCCTCTGATTAAAGGGTAAGGTTGAACTGTATTGTTTACTTTAAAAAATTGGATTTTTGGAACTCCATGCAGAAATGGGAGGAGCCAGCTAAGAAGAAACTGTGAGTAATCTTCTACTTCCTCTGCTGCTTTCCAGTTCTAAATATTTGCTTTTCATAAAACATGGTGGGTGCTTTGTATTACAATGTAATGCAGTTATCGCCATACAAGAGCTCTAATTTGCATTTCTAAGATCATGCCTTGCCTTCGTATCATGTTCTGATTTCAACCCAGGGATCTTTCTGATGAAACAACATCCAGGAAAATCAGTAGACTGAAATCATTCTTATGGTCTTTGGTGCAGCCTGATTTTTAATTTTAAGCTTAACTACCCTTCTCAGGCACCCTTCTTTCTTTCTTTCTTTCTTTCTTTCTTTCTTTCTTTCTTTCTTTCTTTCTTTCTTTCTTTCTTTCTTTCTTTCTTTCTTTCTTTCTCTTCTTTCTTCTTCTCTTTCTCTCTCTCTCTCTCTCTCTCTCTCTCTCTCTCTCTCTCTCTC